AGGAGCAAGTGGAGCGTAAATCAGATGAGGCCATGCAGATGAAAGAAAAAATTTCAAGTCTTGAAGCCCAGGTTTTGGAGGCTGATGCCAAATTGAAAGAAAACGAAAGCCGATTTTGTTCTGTTAAACAATCTGTGGATAGTGAGCAGAAGTACTTATTGCGAATTTCGGACCTTGAGGCTCAGGCGAAGAATGTGCAGCTCGAATTGGATTCTATGAAAGATCGGAAAGCCGAATTAGAAAGACGGGTTTTGGAGGAAACTGAAAAATCAGCATCCTTAGTAAAGGGCCTTACCGAACAGATCAACTCTCTGAAGAATATACTGGCTAATGCAAATACCCAGAAAAGTGAACTAATAACCGAGCTCGACAAAAAATCGAAAGAAAAAACAGAATGCCTGATTCTAATAAACAACCTAAAGAATGAGTCGAGTATGAACGAGCAGAAGTTATCGAAGGAGAAAGAAGGCCTAAAAGCTCATGCTCACGACTTAGAATTGAAAATACATTCTCTGCTCAGCACGAAAACAGAACTCGAAGACCAAATAAAGAAGCTAACACAAGAAGCTTCTCAATCCTTGGCAGAAGTATCCAGATCACACAGATCACTATCCGAAAAAGAAAACGAACTATCCACTGAGCGCAAGAAACTCACCGATTTCCAAAACATAACTTCTGCTAAGACCAAATCCCTAGAAGATGAGACAAAAAGCCTCAAGAACGACCTCGAATCCATAAAAAACGAGAAAAACCATCTCCACACGATCATCGAATCCCTACAAAAAAATGCACACCTCTTACAAACCGAGCTCGACAGAGAAACAGGAGAAAACTCCCAAAACAAATCGAAACTCGAGAAACTCTCCAAATCCAACTTCCAAATCGTGGAGCGTAAAGTGGAAGATTTACTAGAGGAGTTCCGGAAGCAACTAGAAGACAAGTACCGGATCCTGAGCCGCAGGATCCGGGTTGCCGAGCAACTCCAAGTCGAGAACAAGGAATGGTACCATAAAACTAAAGAAGCATACGAGCAACAGAACAAGGACTTGAAAGCTCGAGCAGAAAGAAACGAAATCGAGCTGAAAAGCATCAAGGACATGACACTAACGGCAAACAAAGTCCTAACTTCTCTAGACTCGGTGGCCCTAAATTTCGAGGAATGCAGCGCGAATTTTTTAAACAGGATTTCGAAAGCATCGTGTGAGCTCAAGTTTGCGAAGCATTGGGCCATGAGGAAGAATAAGGCGGTTTTACACGTGAGGGACGAGATGGACTGCCTGTTGGCCCAGCTGGACGACAAGGAGAAGGAGATATTGGTAGTTAGGGAGAGGGTTTGGAAGTCGGAGAATAAAGTGCGGGAGTTGGAGAAGATGGTGAAAGAGAAAGAAGATACCATGTTGGGGCTCAAGGAGGAGAAAAGAGAGGCTATAAGGCAGTTGTGTGTTTGGATCGATTATCATCGTGGCCGCTCGGATTATTACATGAAGATGTTGTCCGAGTTGAACCCGGCGTGCAAGAAGGCATCTTGATGACATGAAAAGAAAAAATGATAAAGAAAATGTGGACTGTTTGATGTTTTTTAATGTTGTTAACTTCTTGTTTTTCCTTGGGGTTTTGTTTTCTTCTCATTCTTGCAAACTAGGCAGCATGAATTGTAGAGGAATGAGTGTGTTTTCCTTGTTTTGGCTTAGGTTTGATTGAAGGTCTTAACATGGAGTTAGGTTTAATGTTGGATGTGTTTTCCTTTTTTTTTTTTTTTNNNNTTCTCCACCCTCCCATATTTGGATTCCTGACCTTCCCACTCGAATTTCACAAATGATAATAAAATATTAGACTATTGGAATTTTGCCGTTTTGTATCTCATGGGGATAAATTGCTCGTCTAATATTGTCGGGTATTTTTCTGTCCTTCAAGGTTTGAATTTAACTGATCCTATCATTTGTGAAGATTGTCATTACCGTATAACTATAATCAGGGTATGGAAACAGAATTTATGGAGCCGTGTTGATATATGGGTTTGTATCAACGGTTAATCAAGAATAACTGTGGATTGAAGAAATACTTATAAAATCAAAACGGGATTAGATGGTGAAAGTAGAGAACTTTGGACTTGATGAGGTCGGCCTCTGTGAACTCCGAGACCTGGCCTTTAAGCCAGGGGCGGACGCAGACTCGTAAAATTGAGGGGGCACAAACGTAACTTTTACAAAGTGCAAAAAAAAAAGATAATTAATCTCTGCATATTCTTATATATTGCATCACTCATAATTACATAAATTCGAATCTCATTAAATACAAATACGAATTTTTTTTTTCTTTTGCATTACTTTCTTACAACGTTAGCATTCGTGGACTTCTTTATAATAAAGATAAATATTTTATTAGTTAAAAAATTAATGACACA